TTTTTTTGTTCTTGTTTATTAGAAGAAGATTATTTTTATTTAGAAACTGAAACATTATTAAGTCGATGTATTATGTTAGGACAATTTGAAGCTGCTGTTGAATTATGTTGTAATGAACAACGTTATACAGATGCACTTCTTCTTGCTCATCTTGGTGGTCAAGATTTATTATATAAAACACAAAAACGATATTTTGAAAAAGTTCAAACACCAACAACAAAAGTTTGTAATTGATTTAAAATACAAAATAAATAATAAATAAATTATTTTCTATTTAGTTAATTGATATTGTTACTAATCAAGATTGGCCACGTTTAATTGAATCAAGTAATATGACGAATTGGCGTGATATACTTGTTGCACTTTTAACTTATACAAATGGTGCAACATTTATTGATTTATGTAATCAACTTGGCCATCGTTTAGCACAACAACATATTGGAACAAATGATTCACTTCGTACATATGCAGCGATATGTTTCATTTGTACAGGAAATTTAGAACAATTTGATATAGCTTGGTCAAGTAAATACCAACAACAAGGAATGTCATCAATGCAATTGGAACAATTAATTGAAAAATTATTTATTCTTAAACGTTCAGTAGATTATTCAAGTGCACAACAGAAGAAAACAGTTAACACAGCAGCTGCATCTATGGATGGACCATCAATTAGTCGACATTTAACATTATTTGGACAATTATTAGCTAATGAAGGTTGTGCAAGAGCAGCACTTGTTTATTTAGGAAATATACAAACAGTAAATTTATTTGTTGTATATTCATAAAACAAATTTTTATTCTGTTTTACTTTTCTTATTAATTTAGCCTGAATTACTTGTTCTACGTGATCGCCTTTATTATGGTTTACCTGCAAATCAATTGACTGGTATTCCAAAACCATCAAGCCCATTTCGAAGAGTTGATGTTCCTACACCACAACAGCAACAAAATCAGCAACAGATGCAGCAACGAAAACCAAGTTCAAATACTACACAACATTTTCGACCTACACTTCCGACTGAACCAGTGTTTACACCACCATCTAATAATACTTGGGCACCATTACCACCACAAAACTCAATTAATGATAATAATATGAGACTAGGACTTAATTCGATGACCAAGTAAATATTTTCAAATGAACCAATCAAATTCTATTTTTTATTTAACCTGTTTTAGTCGACCATCAGCACAACCTACAAATCCATCCTACCCACCCAACCTTTATAATCCCGCTACCGCTGTTCCTTCACATTTTACACCAGCACCAACACCAACTCCAATGATGTCTAATCAACAGTTTGTTCATGGTACATATTTTTTACACAAGTTTTATTCTTTTAAATAAACTTTATTTGTTTATCTTTCTTTTTCCATTAGGATATCCAAACTCAGCGCCATCTCCAGCAGTAAATAATGCTCAGAATGCACCACCCTTAGGTCCTTCAGCTTTATCTTATCAAGATTCTAAACCGGCTAGTGCATGGAACGATCCTCCAACAGTTATGATGAAAGTATCAAAGCATAATCCAGTGAAAGTAAATTATATTGATATTCTTCTTCTTCTTCTTCTTTATGAATTATTTTTTTTAATGATACATTTAGCCACCTGGTTCGTCTACAGATGGTTTTGCTACTACAAATTCTCCATTTCTTCCAGTAGTTAATGAACCTCCTCCTCCTCAATCAACATTTCATTTCAATCCAACAATAACAAATCAACCAACAGGACCTGTATATCCTCCTTCAACATCATCTGATTTTATTCATCATTCTGCTCCTTCCGTGCAAGAACCAACAGTTCGAAAAGTAGCTACTCCTCCACCTCCACCTGCACCTGTTGTTAAAGGTCCATTACCAACTGAACATCAAATAATACAAGATACACTTGATTTACTTGCTAATCGATGTCAACAAGCAACTCAACAATTACCATTAAAACGAAAATTAGATGAAGTGAAGAAGAAACTTGAAGTTTTATATGATAAACTACGAGAAAATCGAGTCAGTTTTTTAATTTTTGATATATTTCAATTTTAATAATAATATTCGTTTTTTTTCATTCTAGGTTCCTCAAAGTGTTTTACAAGGTATTCATCAAATAATCAGTTATATTCGTCAATATGATTATCAATCATCACTTTTAATTTATAATCAATTAATTGCAAGTGAAAATCTAGCTGAAACAAGTCAATATATGCCTGCTGTTAAGATTCTTCTTCAATGTTGTATGCAACTTAATGTTTACTGTCAATGATTTTAAAAGCAATATAGGAAAAAAAAACGACATAAATCTTTTTTTTTCATTTTCCTTTTTCTTTGCAGTGTGTTTGTTTGTGTGTTCTATGAATGTGCAGTGTTTGGAATCTCTTATGTCTTTATTCTTTTATTTGATGATAACGAAGCTGAAAAAAAAA